TAAAGAAGCCTTACCAGAAACAAACATCTTATGAAAGTGTTTTTGTTTTTTTCTTTAGTTCATAACCATTTAACATAGTAATGCAACAACTCAGCATTTTTAAGAAGGCTTGAGCAGGAGCCATATGTTAGTGTTATTAACCATTGTATATAATTGTTAGGATTATTTAGGCTAGGCACTCAGCTGACTGAAATAGAGGCATTGTAACATCTTACATAATACAGTAATTACCCTTCTTGTAAAGGTAATAACCTTCCACAGTAATGGATGCAATGACTCAGTGCTGTGAAGGATGTGTCAACACATCAACTAGTTTGTCCAACTGCCACCAGCCCTTAAGGATTCTCTGCTGCCCTAGTAGGTACAGCCAGTACTTGAAAAACCTCTCCATGATGCCGCAGTCACAACTCCATTTTTATGCATTTATATATCATTGCTAGAGGAAGCAAGAATGTGGAAGAGGCTCATACATTCAAATGTGCTGGACTTGGGACCAGAGAGATTGCCCCTTTCTTGCTTTAATTAAATGATTTTGTAAATGAGTAAATAACTATATGTGTCATGTGTTTTGTATGCTGTTACAACAGTAAACCTACCGTGATTGGCTTCTTTGGAATACTGGCAAATGGGTCCATAAGACTTAAAATAGCCTTTAAAGTTGATGCTATGCATGTGAGTCGTTACAGATACTGCATTGTATTATCTCTATTGCATCTGAAGAAATTCACAGTTAAGACCCTATTGAGAATGTGTACTGGTAACTAAAAAAACCTGTGATAAAATTAGAGTAATTTTGATAAGCATCTAGCTAAAGTTTTTAAACTAAGTTGTGAGTTCATTAAGAAAAAAATTCCTAAAATCATGAAATAAAGCTATAGAGGTCAATCACAGAATCACACAGAACCACAGAATAGTAAGGGTTGGAAGGGACCTCTGCCCCCTAGCCCAACGCCCCTGCCGAAGCAGGGTCACCTAGAGCAGGCTGCACAGTACCTTGTCCAGGCGGGTCTTGAATATCTCCAGAGAAGGAGACACCCTTAACTTCCTAGGGATTCTATGTAGTAACCATCATTTTAGGACTATGGCCTTTAGTGTTTGTGGTCCTCAATGAAAATAACTGCTCAATAAAACTTTTTTTTTCCGTGCATCATCTATTAGCATACATAGAATCACATTACTCTATGTATGCTGAAACTTAGCTCATAAAATGGATTAAAAGCCAAAATATACTTCCAACTGCTGGTAGGAAAAATATTTTTCAATTCCTGCATGTTTGTGTAGTTAAAGGAGAATTAAATAGAGGAAGCTATTACTGTCAAGGATTAAAATTAATTTCATGAATTGGTAATTTATTAAGCTTGCCTTTTGTTGCACTCTAGGACGCATTTCAAAATCAAAGTTTTTCCATTTAACGCCTACATACAATGGACTGCTTACGGATATCCTTTGTACTACTAAACAGAGTTGAAATACCTGCTTTTGTTCCACACTTTTTCTCCTCCCTTTCAGTACAGACAAAAGTGTTGGAATTTGTCTGATGCCTTCAGCATCGTTGAATTCGGGGTTTGTCATGAGAGCAGACTACAAGATCAGAGAGCCTTCGTACTGAAGCCTCTCAGTGAATACAGGCATAATAGCTGGCTTTCAAACTGGAAGTAAATACTTAAAATTTTCTAGGTAATGTACTGACAATGATGATGCAATAGTTTGTGTTTGCAAAACCAAAACTTCCAACTATGTCCAGAAACAAGCTGAAATCTGATGCAGCCTGTTGAGCATTTCCTCCTGTCACACTGCTAAGGAAAGCTATAATAGCTCATTGGGGATTTCCAAACGTTAAGAGGATAGCAGCAACACCAGATGTTCAGCCTTGAGGGTCAGCTGTCTGACACTGCTCAGAGAAGGAAAATTTCTGCAAATGACTTTTGCTAGATAAGTTTTGCTAGACAGATTTCTAGGACCAGCCAGAAAGAAAGTCAGCTGCTGAGATTCTCAAATAAGAGAATCTTTTTGCCTAAATGCTTAAATAAGAAAATATTTTTCATCGTCACAAAGCATGTAAGTTGTCTTTCCTGCCCTCTTTCTCTCAGACATAGATTCCTTTGTCAAAACTCATCCAAAGTGCTTAAGATCTGGCAGCTCTGTCCTCTGATATTTATCCAAACTCTTTTCATGTAGAAGTCTGGCTGGCAGTGCTGATCATGCCTGCCAAGATCTATAAACCCCTGTATCTTTTTTTCCTCTCTAGAAGGTAGGTTTTGTGGTGGGAGTGGGGGGAGGGAATCGCAGGAAGAGGATGTTCCTGAGTATATACACCTTTGTCTAGATATCATAAATGCCTTTCTGTCCCCAAACCACAGATGGCGTTCCATGTTCTCAGAACCCAACAGTTGCCATAGAAACCTGGATCAACTTCAACAAGGAGGAGCGAGCGGGCTTTTCAGAGACGCTGCGATCAAGTCTGAAGGTATAAAATGACCTTCTGTTCCAGGGTTGGTGTAGCGCTTCCTGGTTTCACACTTCCTAAGGCAGGGTATTCTGCTCACAGGTGTGACTTGAAAGTTGCAAAACACAAATGTCATTGAAATTCATGGTGCTTGCATGAGGAATACTTTCATTGTCATAAATAGCAAGCCCACTGACAGCTTTTTTTAATTTCACCTGAGGCTGCTTTCACTGGTGATTTGAGCAATGCCACAATTAACTTACTTTACTAGATGCTCAGTTACCAAAGAGACCATTCAGAAATCTGAGTTTGGCATTCCCATTATAATAACTCTACTCCATCAGTGATGTAACCAGCCCTTACGTAAACCACAGACACTTGGGTTTTGGCAAATTTTGCTATGTCAGATGCAACTGATATCTTGAAAAGGCTTTGAGGCTCTGAGACCTGAACGCCTTAGGGTGGCAGGACTTGGGAAGCAGGTCACATGCCTCAGGGCCACAGGTGGGTCCTAAAGTTGAAAAATTCGGTCTTGGGCATCACTGATGTTTGTGTAAACAAGTCCAGTTCTGCTGACACAATCCTCCTTTCTCTCAGGTGATTGGAGAAAATGTTCACAGCTATCTGATTGGGAAAGAGTACACATTCACTCGCTGTCTCTCTGCATTGTGCCGATGACGACTCCATAAGCGTGAGTGGCCAGAACAGCCTGTGTCACCAGATCACTGCAGCCTGCAAGCACGGTAGTGACCTGTACGTCGTCGGTGGCTCCATTCCACGACGCATGTGGAAATGCAACAATGCGACTATAGACTGGGAGTGGTGTGCCCCTCTGCCCCGTGACCGGCTCCAGCACACTCTTGTCTCTGTGCCAAGCAAGGATGCAATATATTCACTGGGGGGGAAAACTCTACAGGATACTCTCTCTAATGCCGTTATATATTACAGAGTACGAGACAATGTCTGGACAGAGACCAGCCAGCTGGAAGTAGCAGTCTCTGGAGCGGCCGGTGTAAACCTTAACGGTGTCATTTACCTGCTGGGCGGGGAGGAAAATGACTTGGACTTCTTCACCAAGCCCTCTCGGCTAATTCAGTGCTATGATACCAACACAGAGAAATGCCACGTGAAGCCATACGTACTGCCTTTTGCAGGGCGCATGCATGCTGCTGTGCACAAGGATGTGGTGTTCATTGTAGCTGAGGGGGATTCGCTGCTGTGCTATAATCCCCTGCTGGATAGCTTCACTCGGCTGTGCCTGCCAGATGCCTGGAGCTCAGTACCGTCCCTCTGGAAAATTGCCAGCTGCAATGGCAGCATCTATGTCTTTCGCGACCGCTATAAAAAGGGTGATGCAAATACTTTTAAACTTAACCCAGCCACCTCTGTTGTAACAGTCACAAGTGGCATCAAAGTGCTGCTCACTAACCTGCAGTTTGTCCTGGCCTAAGCGGGCAAAACTGGCCCAGTGATGGAAAGGGCAGCAGTGGTGTTCTGCTGTGCAGCTCAGAGGTACCCACCACCCTCAGCACCAGTCCCAGCTACTACGAGCTCACAGCATCCAGCAAAGACCCCATCCTCTATACCTGTGCAGAGGAAGTACAGGCTTTCTGGCTATGGGCCTGTTCTTTTACATAGCACTATTAAAGTTGAACTGCTGCATCTTAGATTTCAGATGGACTAAATGCTATTACTTTGATCCCTTGGTGATAAGCTGCTTGCGTTTGAGGCCCAAACTGCAGCAAATGGCATTTTTAGCCTGGAACCAATCCGCCAGTAACAAATTCTGTGGCATATGGACAACGTCCTCCTTGGCCCAGACTGTTAGTTTTAACTGCCTGGGAGACTGTGTGTTGCTGCCATGTCGGTCACAGAGTTAGATGTGCACTGTGTCCTCCAGGGATGCCTCCTTTTAAACATTCCTGCGTCCCTACTGCAGAAGGAGGGACTGGCAGAAATATTTACAACAGTTGGATTCCAGAGCTGACCCCAAGACCTTTAGTAGGTTGAATTATTCAGCACTTCTCCTAAAGAAGTGGTAACAAACTGGGAACTTGCTTACTGCTCTGTGATGACCTAGCATAAAGAAGGAGATTGTTTTTATGAGCATTGCCTTCCTTTACTGTACAGGGAATCCCCACCTGTAATCATCACGTAGTGTTGGTGAAAGACGGAATTAAGACCACTTCCTCCTACCCCTCTCTGTTGGCACTGTAACCATTTGAGTAAGCATCTGAATAAAGTCTCTGCTGAGACAAAGTTTTCTTTTCCTTTGCTGCAAATATTACACAACTTCCGTGGGTTGCAGTTCGCTCAGCACTGATACTGTGTGTGGGAGAGAAGAACTATGGGGTTCCAAGAGAACTAAGATATTAGCCATGAGGAAGGAAAGCTTTAATGAAACAGCCCAACCTCCCCTTTGCTACAATTTATGTAAAAACTTCTTTATTGATGGTTATGAAGTACAACACTTAAGCCTTCATTAGATCATTAAAGCGTAAGGGGTTTTTTTTAAAAGCAGTCGAGACAGAGATTTTGATAGCTCTTACTGATACTATGCAGTTGTCCCAGCAATCATGTTCCTGTGGAATGTCTCCAGGACCTGGACTTGCTTGTGCCGGATGAGGATGTGGGGACGGATCTTGGCAATAGCCTCTATTGCTTCCCGAGGGCTCCAGTGATGCAGCTGAAAAGGCAGAAACCCCGCAAGTCAAAATCCATTCCATCCCTGCACCAGTAAATGGCGCCTTCCTGGAGGCTACAGGCAACATTAGACTTGTTAGAAAACTTGCTGCTTTGCCCCTTCTGTTCACTTCATGTTCCTCTCAGAGGAGCCTGGAAGTCAGTGCAAGTTAATTAAATCAGTCCCTCAGTTAAAGAGGGATGGTTGCTGCCTGGGACCTCTGTTTTCTGTCTCACTCATGCTTCTGTCATGTTGTGAAGTTTCCTGTCCTAGTCCCACCAGACCAGAGCAAAAGCGCAGCTTGCTTTTTTTACTTTTTTTAAAAACTTTACTAGCACTTCCATCACGCTTTAGCACTTAGTGAGAAAATTTTCCCTCCAGCACTAAGGGAAAAGTTTCCAGGGAGCACTTAATAACACCAACAGAAGAATCCACAGGTCAGATTTTGTTCTTGGTGCTGGCTTACCCAGTTGGGTCTGTAGAGGAACTCAGAAAACCAAAGTCACTTCTCTTGATCCTGAATTGTATTTACTGAAAAGCATAGAAAGGCTCGCCACTTCAGTTAACCAAGGAGAAAATCTGAACAACCAAAATGGATGTTTATCTGCTCAGTGAACCTCCCCTCACGAGTGACTTGTAATTGCCATTTCAATCTGTTCCTCCACAGAAAGAATTAAGAAGGGCAGAACCATTCAAAACCTGTTGGGAACTTACTGTATTAATGGCCCAGAAAACTGAGCAGCTTCCCGAAGGCTGACTGATCTGCCAGAACCAGCAACAGATACTATCAGAAGATGTGTTTCAAAGCTTTGTTGCAACAACAGGTTCTCTTTCCCGTAAGATCACATCTTTGCCAGTGCCTGTGCTAATAACTGAGCTGGCAGAGGCCGACCGTAGAGATTAATGAAAAGACTACTTAAAACGGTGGCTATATTGCAGCTTCACCACTGTCTCACTGCCAGGAAGCGTTACCTTGACAGTATGTATCATACGCACAGATGAAGAAGGTGTGCAAAGATAAACCAGATTATCAAAGAAAGCTTAGACCGCAATTCAGCAAACATGAAGTTTCACTTGTTCCTTTACCCTGCGTTTGCCACATTCTACAGAACCACAATGTAAGTTTGGGGCCTAGCTATCTACCTCTTTTTCAATGTGTCTCTAAGTCCAAACTCTGTAAAATCATGGAATATTAACGCACTTGTACATGCTCGGGCTTCTCAACCAAAAGCAAACTGTAAAGGTTGGCTCTATTTGCCCAGACGGCGTGAAAATAAACCCGTTTAGCATAGAATCCTTCTTACTCGAATTAAATATGCTGCCACCACGGTGGCACTGCGGGAGCGCCCTGCCTTGCAGTGCACGTAGACGCTGTTGCCGCAGGCTCGGTGTTTCAGGATGAATTCAACACCCTTGTGGAGGTTTTCCAAGGTGGGGACTCCGGTTAGATCCACGGTGCTGAGACGCAGCTGCTCCACTCCCATTGCCTCCCATTCCTGAAATGGACAGGGCAGATTCGATCTGTTAAATTCTTCGGGTTTCTTTCCAGAAAGAAAACCTGCTGGGACAGCTGGCAAATCCAGCAGGGTTGTACGCAGACTGTGAACGTCTGCCCCTGAAATCAGACGCGTGAAAACCTCAGTGCTGGCTACCGGCAGGGGGAGGCGGAAGGGGGCGGGACAGGCGCGGGGCCG